GGGTGTCGCCGGAGCGACCATGTTCACTTCTCTGTTGATGACTTTCAATCGACTCTTGTTTTCAACATCAGCAAAAATCATCAGGGTGGAATTCACGTGAGGATAACCATCATCATCTTCCCCTTCACTCTCAGCCTTGTCTGCCTCCTTCTCCTTTTCCTTGGGTTGTTTCTCTCGGAACTGCTGGATCAGGAGCCGACACTGTCGAGTGGTATGCTTCGGGTAAATGAAATTACCTTCTTCGTCTTTTTTGGTGTGGATATGGCACGGCAGATCCAACACGTCATTTCCATCTTGATCTTTTACTTTCTTGGGGTTCCACGGCCCTTTAGGCTTCCCCTTGAACTTTCCTTGAACCACAGCCAAGACCTCACCCGGAGCAGCTGGTTCGGCCTTGCGTTTTTGTTTCCGACTGGAGTTTCCTCCTCCGGCTTCGTGGGCGACTGCTTTGTGCTTGCCGCTCCGCAGTCGCTCCTCCTCTTCACCATTGGCATACTTGGTGGCGATTTCCATCATCCGAGTCAAAGTCATGTTTCCTGTCCGACCGAATTTTAGATTCAACTCCCGGTACCTGACGCCTTCCTTGAAAGCATAAATTGCCTGATGATCAGACACATCTTCCACCGTGTGGTGCAGGGTGATCCACCTCTGAATATAATCTCTCAAAGTTTCATTCGGTTTCTGGACGCAACACTGTAATTCTGTCAAACCTGCTGGCCGCTTGCAAGTACCCTCAAACGTTCTGACAAACACTCGGGCGAGATCTTCCCAAGTATAGATGCTGCCCGGCGCCAACTAATTCAGCCACGCCCTAGCCGAGCCCTCCAACATCAGAGGAAGGTGTTTCATGGCCACCTCATCATTGCCGCCACCAATCTGGACAACCACTCGGTAGTCTTTGAGCCAGGTGTCAGGCTTGGACTCTCCGGTGAACTTACTGACTCCAATCGCCAACCTGAAGTTGGGGGGAATCACTGCAGCTCTGATAGCTCTGCTGAAGCACTCTGGGCCAGAGACATGCACCCTGTTGCTGGTTTGCGGGCCTCTGTCATGGCCATCTCGGTGAGCTCTGTTTCTGTCGACCAAGCCTTGTACGAGAATAGATCTCGCATCAAAGCCTGGCTCCCTGGGGTCGACTGGAATACCTCTTCTGACGTTGTTAAGGCGCCTGTCTTCATGTGGCCGCGGCATGTACGACCCACTCCTTGGAGGAGGCGTGGGCACTCGACGGCGACCATCGCGATCGGCTCGACGGTCATACTGCTCCTGGTTTCTGTACTGATCATGCCACTCTCCACGTCCCTCACACCTCGGGGCGATCTCGGGCTATGGGCCGACTGGACCATATCTGCGACCACAGATCTGCTATGGATCCTATCCCGCGACTGAGACACAGCCATATTCTGCTCTCCTGCTGCCCGGAGCAAGGCCCTGATCTACGCTAGACCTCGGCCAGCTTCTGACTGGGAAGGTTGAATCGACTCTGCTATCCGGGCAGCAGCTGCTAGGTTTTGGATCGGTGTCTGGTATACCTGAGCCGGAGGTGGAAAAAGTTGGCGTCGGCTGGAATCAGGAGCACGTTGACAAGCGCGATCGTCAAGTGCGCGCTGTAGGTTCTCCAGCCGAGTGCGCTCAGCCAGATTGGCCAAGCGAGCCTGTTCCAAGGCCTGGGCCTCGGGCGTTTCTCCAACTACAGGAGTATGCAGGGCATCCATGTTTCGGCGACGAAGTTCTTCTCTCTGCTGCGAGGAGAGAGGCTCGGGGCGGTACTCCTCGTGAACGCGCGACGGATCGTCGTTCCCGTCACCTCCGTCTTCACGATCGAAGCCAGGAGGACCGCGTGGTCCATTGACCATCAGGACTTCCGCTGCCGAGTCATTGCTGCCGCACTCGGATGCAGTCTCTATGGAGCCAGTCGACAGATCGAACAGGCCGTAGAGAGACTCGTCGGGCTCGAGCGCCGCGACTTGAGGGGTGGCCGACTGGCGGGCCACCGCATGCTTCACCCACCATTGAACTCTCGACCGGCTGGTGCGCTTGTTCCAGCGGGTCGCAGGGAGGGGGAAAGCCGTAGGAGTCGACTGGTACTGGGTCGACGGTTGCCGCAGGAGGACGCCGCGGACGTACGCGTGAAAGTGCGTCGCCTAGCGGGCGGGGAGCGCATCGACGTCGAGTGGTGCCTCCTGAAGCCAAGTGGAGTCGTCGGCACAAACACGAGCGCGTCGAGACGGATCTCGCGGCCCTCAGCCAAACCTCCGCCTAGAACCATGATGATGGGGATCGAAAAAATTGCAACTTCTCCAATAAGGCGCTAAGACACCTGCCCCACGGTGGGCGCCAACTGTCGTGGATCTAAGACTGACAGTAGAATGGGGGTAGGTATGAGGAGGCAAGATCCTAGCTATGGAGTAGTTGTACACACGAGTTTTACGAGTTCAGGCCCTTCTCGGAGGAAGTAACAGCCCTACGTCTCGGTGCCCTGAGGCGGTCGACTGGATTATATGTGTGTGTGTGTTTACAAAAGTGCGAACCCTTGTCCCAGAGGAGGGAGGTGGCTTATATAGAGTGCGCCAGGACCCCAGCTCCCCTCCGTTACACAGAGTTCAATGCTCATAAAGGAAAGGCGTTACAGGTAACGTCTACAGTAAATGCCATAAATGCTCATAATGCTATGGTTTAAGTCTTAACCGTTGCAGAGTGGAGGGTTCCTCATCTTCTGGTGGTCGAGTGTCTTCAAGGTGGTCGAGTGAGCGCATCCCCACGGTCGAGTAGATGATGATTTCTTTTCGACTGCTTCTGATTCTTTGTAAAGATGTCCTTAGGGAGGGTATGTTGGACAGGTCCATGACCCTACCCTAGGTACATAGCTTCATCAGGTGCCATAGGATGGTGGAATGGGCGGCTACATGAACATGATGGGAGGTACCGTGAATGGTGCCTTTGGTGGCAACATGTGAGGTAGCTTTGGTGGCAATGCATGGTGGCTTCGGTGGCATGCGAGGTGGGTTCGATGGAAACATGAATGGCATGGGAGGTGGCTTCGGTGGCAACATGAGTGGCATGCGAGGTGGCTTCAGTGGCAACACGAGTGACATTGGAGGTGCTTCCAGTGGAGTCGCGCGATGCATCAACGCATGAAAACGTTGACAAAGAAGCCATTGATGATGATGATGATGATGTAAATGTCTACAATGTGACCAGTGACAATGGATCAGACCCAAATTGAGATGCTATGTTGTTGTTATATTTCCTTTTAATTTGTTGGACCAAGAATTTTGATTGATATGACGCACTTTTGGTTATTGGATTATGAACTATGTTTGTTATGAAAGTTGAGTTCATATTAAATCTGAATATATTGCTCTATATGATAACTTTTATTCGAAATAGTGCGTAGCCCCGTGGCGGTCGGCGTTTTACATCTTTACATATGCATTAGAGCATATACAGCCGGGCGCCGCAAACCCTCCTCAAACGCCTGGGCGGGCCACCTGGTCACCGAGAGATCATATTTTTTTGACCCAGCTGGACGCCTCAAACGGGCCTCAAACGCCCGGGCTGACGGGCACCCCTCATATTCAACACACATATGAGGCAGATATGGGAGCGGCCCGCCACGTTGGACCCGACCCTCGCTGGCCCACCCGACCCCACATATATTCGTTCCCATCCCTTCGCCAGACCAAACCCTAGCAACTTCACAGTCCTGTCCCCTCCGCTCCCTCCGCCACCCGAGCTCACATCCGGCCATCTCCGGCATGACGGGCAGCGGATCTGACTCCGACCAATCCGGATTCGTCGACTGGGTTGTCATCCCGTGTGGGTTGAAGGAGGCAATGGCGGTCCGCATTGCATTCCGCCGCTCCTGGGAGGACATTGCCCCAACCGACGAACGGATCTGTCCGGCGCGACTCCATTGTGTCGGCTCAATGGGCGCTTGGGTCCTCTGGGGCTGGATCATCGCGGGCCCGACAGCCGAAAAATCTCTCCTTTCCCATCACCGGCCGGGCAGACTATGAGTCCCACCGGGAACGGGCAGCCCACCGTGGGAAGGGGTGGAAAGGGTCGTCGAGGCCCTTATCGCGGCCGAAATGGCGGAGGCGGCTAATGCGGCGGCACGGGCGGCCGCATAGGAGGAATCCATCCGCGCCCACATTGTGAAGAAATGACAGCGGAGGAACACGTGCTCTCTCTCCCGAGAGCAGAATCGGGCGGTCCGTGCCATGGTCGGACTGCCACCGAAGGAGGACATCGACGACGAGGAGCTCCGGCGACGAGCAGACCCGGCTCGATCCCTACTGCGTCTTCGACCAGTACTTCCGCGAGAAGGACGGCAAGGACGCCGGGAAGGGCAAGGGCAGTCGTGGATGATGTCCACCATAGCCAAACATGCCAAATTTTGGTAGTCCGATGGCATGTTTAGTGTAGTGTGATGGAGTAACGGGTGATGTGTGTGCAACTACATAGTTGCATGAGTTTGTATGGATTTGAGATATGATAATTGAGGTGTCCGGATGTGAATTGCATTATTTAAGACGTGACCGGTTAGTCTCCGCGAACGCGCCCCGGCGCGTCCGTGGGCACTTGAGGGGCCAGATTTGCAAAGTCCGGCTGTAGATAATCTATCTATTGAAGTAGTAGTTTTATATCATCAAATATATATCATCTGTCGGAGTTGACATTTTTAAATGTAAAAATCACTTTTTATGATATGAATTATACCTACGACACCTATTTTAACATCTTCAAATATACATCATCAGCGGCACAGCAAGAAAACGGCCACTTGGAGTGCAAAAACCCTACAGCTACAACATCCCAAACGCCTAGCGGTCAATCCTCCTCCGCCGCCGCCGCCGCCGCGACGCGATGCTTCATCTCCGGAAGCTCTTCCTCTCCGCATCTCATGTCCGCACACCCTCCCTCTCTCCCCTTTCCCCGCTCCACCGCCTCCTCGCCGCCACCGCACCCGCATCCCCAGAGCCGTTCGCCGTCGAGGACTACCTCGTCACCACCTGCGGCCTCTCCCGGCCCAAGGCGCGCAAGGCGTCCAAGAAGCTCGCCCACCTCAAGTCCCCCTCCAAGATCGACGCCGTCCTCGCCTTCCTCGCCGCGCTCGGCATCTCCCCCTCAACCACCGCCGCCATCGTCGCCGCCGACCCGCAGTTCCTCTGCGCCGATGTGGAGCTGAACCTGTCCAAGCGCGTCGCCGAGCTCACGGATCTCGGCATCAAGCGCTCCCAGATCGCGCGCCTCATCCCGCTCGCCCGCACCACCTTCCGCAGCTCCTCCCTCGGCCCCAACCTCGCTTTCTGGCTCCCGGTCTTCGGCTCCTTCGAGAAGCTCCTCGGGGCCATCAAGGTGAACGGCGGCATCCTCGGAGCGGACCTCGAGAAGGTCGCCAAGCCCAACCTGGCCATCCTCCAGCAATGCGGGATAAGTGTCCGAGAATTTTCAGATACATACCTTACCCGGGTGCTCACTAGGCTCCCCGAGTACGTCGAGAATGCCGTGCTGTACATCGATAAGCTTGGCGTGCCCCGGGATTCCTCATTGTTTCGCTACGCGCTCATGGCGTTCGTGATTCAGAGCCAGGAGAAAATTGACAGGAAAATGGGGATGCTTGAAATGCTTGGTTGGTCACAGGATGATGTGTTGACTGCTGTGAGGAAGATGCCGTGTATCCTCACTATGTCCGAGGAAAGGATGCAGACAGCTGTGAATTTCTTGACAAGGGATGTTGGGCTGGAGATACCCTATATTGCTCAAAGGCCAGTGCTGGTCATGTATAGCTATGAGCGCCGGTTGCTGCCACGGCATTCCTTGCTAAATATTCTCAACTCGAAGGATTTGCTTTATCCTGAGCTTGACTTCTATTCTGTTATCGCGCTGACTGAGAAGAAGTTTCTGGACAAGTATGTGCATCCTTATGAGAAGAGTATTCCAGGCCTTGCTGCGACTTATGCATCTTACTGTGCTGAGAAGGTGCCGAATGAAGTTTCTACCTGAAAAGACAAAATGGAAAATGAGACTCTGTGCATGCTTAGTCTGGGAGCATGTTTCTGGATTGTCGTGTTGGAATAACATTTTAAGGTTTGTCACCCCCTTGACCCATGTTTTTAATGTTAAACAGTATGCTATGGGTGATCTTGTGTAACATCGCTAGTTAATGAATAGCAGAGTGACGGATGTGATCAGCACCTAGGTAGATATGGATCGTGGAGTGCCATCTCCAGTTTTCCAGTGAACATGCTTGATTTATAGTATGAATTAATTTGGCCTTAGGTTTACGCAGCTAATTGATAAATTTGGATATGGACTTGTCTGCAATGCATCTGGACGTGATGCTATATTATATGTGGAATTGCTCTGCAGAGATGAGTTTATTTATTCATACTCCCTCCGTTCACTTTTATAAGTCGTTTCAGACAAGTGAAATTGTGCTGTTTTGCACACTGTCTGAAACGTCTACAAAGCCTTATAAAAGTGAACAGAGGGAGTATTATAATTTGTTGTCACTGTTAGTGGTTCTAGTTTTTTTTAGAAACTTGCAATTGTTGAAATCATGGTTACCATATTCAGAATTTGCTCCTTTTTTATTAGACACTTCCCATTTTGCTGGGGGTATACATGTTTGGTTCGTGAACCTAGTGATTTTGGTCCGCCGACTCTGATTCACGAACATATTATTTGACTCGTGAACCCAATTATATCGCTTTGTGATCTTGGATGTTGATTCGTGAACCCAATCATTTTGGTTTGGCATAAAGAGAGTGACCATACCAGCAAAATACTAAGCTAAATTGGTGCTGGTTGCAAAATTGGCTTAATGGAACAACGAATGGACTGATAAACAACAAGCCCATGAGCTTATGTGTCATTGTTTAGTCTCAAAATTTAATACTTCAGTATAGGTACCTTTTTGCTTTGCTTTTCCAGCCCATGAAACATTTGTGTTTATGAAGAGCCTGCAGCTATTGTTGTATCTTCTATCTCTTATTCATTATTGAAAGCAGGACAAGTATGATCAGGACTTGCCATGGGCAAGTCACCTGATCTCTGTCCGTATGATCATCATTGCGTTCATCCTCCACTCCAGGTTCCTTGCATTGCATCTCCTGGTTGCAATCCTTGTTTGGTTGTGCTCCATTTTAGTTTTCAGTCTCAGTTTGCTACTTATAAAAGAGACCTTCCTTGTAACTTCAGAGAATCTTGATACACGTTGCGGTAGGGATGCAAATTTGGTATCCTCCGACCCTCCTTAGTTCAACTAAATGAACTAAGTTTTCAGAATTCACATTACTTTTGAAATTTTAGTTCGGTTGAATTATATTAAATAGGGTCGGAGGGTACCCTAAAGATTCCAAATTTGCATCACTATGTTGCGGATTTGAATAAAAAGTTTCGTGCTGTCTTTGCCTTTCATTGGATTTGTTTCACATAATGAAATGTACAAATACAAATTGATACCTTATTTCCACTGTGCCAATGAAAGACTAATGACAAAAAAATATATTTTTCTTTGGCATCTCCACTACGCCTATAATGCTGCAACATGTCGAGTTGAATGGTATGGGGCACAAAGTCCAGAATTAGCTAAGATGGAAAAGAAAATTCTTCCGCAACCCATTTGTAGCTCATCTATAAAGCGGAATTGGATCATGTATTCATCATGTGGAAAGTAAAACGATTAAATGCAAAGACAATGGATAAACTTATTTTTATCATCAAAATTGGTGATACAAGGACGGCTCCTGTGAGTGGGAAGTTGACCCTGAAAATTCAAATAGAGAAAAGCCTACCTCCATGCTTGAAGAGTTGAAATGCAGGAACCTTGAGTATGTAGTCAATGATGATGATTAGGGGTGGGTGTATAAACCGATGACCGAAATACGGAGCCGAACTAACCGAGACCGAACCTAATGATGATGCTGACGCTCGTCATGCTTTAGATGATGAATGCACTTATAAGCCTCCAAATTCTAAAGTCCAAAATCTAGTCCCATTTCAATTTTTAAGCTACGCTGATGCTGCATTGTCTCATCGACAGGTCACCTTCTTTTTGCCAAGTTAATGGCCTTGATTGTCAATATTGTATTTTTACTTTGCTCTTACATCCGTTCTCAGTCTTAACCAACTGTTGTTTTTTTCAGGCACCAGTTGGTAACCTGAAAACCAAGAAATGGAAGAGCTTCTGGAAAACTATCAAGGTCTTCTGATGGTTTATTCGATTTGTCCAACAACGACGAGTTCAGACTGGGCAAATTTTGGTTGGTAGATTTAGTTTAGTGGGGGATGGCTGATGGAGTAATAGTGGTGCTGGTGCACATGTTGAGTTGTATTTTACCGAAATTGTCTTGGTGACGAGCGAGACCTAAGCAACTTTTTTTTTTGAAACGAGGCAAAAGATTAGCCATTTTCGTCGATTAAGAAGAAGAGAATTGCTAGGTTAATTGGAGGAAAACCAGGTGAAAACCTAGATACAAACCCCACAAGGGGCATATGCGAACGACCTGGCCACAACATCGCCAAACAATCGACCACAGTATTGAGGATATGGCAGCTGAGCTTCAAAGAAAGTTGCAAGCCTCGCACCGACCTGGACCTAAGCACTATTATTATATCAACAAAATCGTTAAAAAGAAACATAACAACTCAAAACATAAATAGATAAACATACCACCTCAAAATATACAGCCATGTATGAAAAAACCCACTTCAATATGCAACCACGCATGGATAAAGACTTCTCATTCAGTTATGTACTTATGTTAGTTTGTCAACTGATGTTTAACAACTATACAATAGATTCATGTTTCGTATGACAAATCTCGATGAACTATACTGGAACCAATTCCTGCAGCAACACACGCGATATCATGATCACAGAGTTCATCTTCACTTATTAGTGACGGCCCCAAGTATGCAATATGTCAAAGCCATAGTCTGCATCCAACCGGAAACACGTACCAGACTGAGGTTTACAAACAGTAAGAGAAGTGAGCCATGCCGTATATCAGACCTATCAACTAATCACCATTCAGTTCAGGTTCAGGTCTACGACCAGCCAAACTTGTAGTCGAGGATGTAAACCAAGACCAGCGACAGTGGGTACAGAAGGAATGCGACGAAGCACGTCCACAGCGGGAACTTGGTCCGGAAGCTGGTGAAGAGGCCCATTATGATGCACACGAGGAAGATGACGAGCACCTCCGACGAGAAGTCCCAGGTTAAGCCCCTGACGTAGACCAGAGCCAAGAACACTGCCAGGCAGAGCGTGTTGTTCATGGTCACTCCACCGTACACCTGCAGTTGAAATGGCGGCATCGCATGAAATTCCCCTTTTGGAACTTTTGAGAAGTACAAATACTGCGGTATCGACAGATTTTTGGTTTGCGATGCTCCTGCCTTTCTTATTTTTAAAAAGGATATGGCCATGCTATTTTTACAATGACATGCTGATGGAAAATAAGATGGAAATATTTCCAAAATAAGCAGAGCCACACTATTTTCATGTGGTCGGTCTTGTATACAACATATATCCATGTACCACTGAAAAAACATGTATCCACGTTCGACTGCAAAGACCAGACAGTGACTTATACGTACTGATGCCGAAAATCATTCAATGAAATCAGATTTTGCACAAAGATCCGAGAGTGACTTGTATGTAGTGATGCCAAAAATCATTCAATCAAATTTTTGTAGTGATGCCAAAAATCATTCAATCAAATTTTCCACACTGCCATTTGAGTAGAATTTCCTTTTGCCATTTGAGTAGAATTTTTTATCATCTGAAGTATGTTTTTTGGTATATCTTCTAGTAAACTGCGCTCAAACCCTTGCTACCATCACGGAATTAGTTTTGTATTAAATCCTTAAAAGTACCCTACGCCTTCTAAGGCTCAGTTTAAGCTTTCTTGTGATGTGATGTGCTCTGCTTCTGTGACTAACGTTTGTACAGAATCTAACATCCATTGATTGTCCTATCACATTTTGTCTCATATGTATCCGAACGGAATAAATATTTGGTTGCAGCTTGACCAAGAAAAAAGAATAATACAGCAAAATGCTCGTATATCTAAAAGCAACTCAAAAACAGACAAATATTTATGCACCATACATCCTATATCCACTTAAAAGAAGCCTGCACAAAACAAGAAAAAATAGAATTCCATGGTAACAACAAAACACCAAGGAAGCCTAAGTCTACAGTATGTAAGAACTTTCAGTTCTTCAAAAAACTGTTTCTAATTTCTTCCACGGAATACCTTGCAATATAAGATTATCAAATAACTAGGCTAACAGTATAGGAGAAATAAAAACAAGAAAAAAATAGAATTCCATGGTAACAACAAAACACCAAGGAAGCCTAAGTCTACAGTATGTAAGAACTTTCAGTTCTTCAAAAAACTGTTTCTAATTTCTTCCACAGAATACCTTGCAATATAAGATTATCAAATAACTAGGCTAACAGTATAGGAGAATTAAAACAAGAAAAATTTAGTGGAGAAGGGAAAAAAACATTGACTAAGAAATCAATCAGAATGAAGGTATTTGTATGACTGCTCCAGTAGTCAACAGTAAACACAAGGTATCCAACAGACATACCTCAGAGAATGTTAGAGACAAAGTGCGTTGCTTCTTTCGGCTGGCAAAGATAATTGCTGAGACAGCCTCACTGGAATTGGTAGCCAAGGGCATCGCAATGAAGGAAATGAAAAAAGATGGTATACTGGTAGCACTTGAAAAGTTGTGCACAGCATCAACAAGTGGGTCTGCAAATGCAGCTGCCATTGCAGTTCCGAGAAGCAAAAGTGAAATGGCCTTGAAGCATGTCCAGGTTGGATTTTCAATAGATTCACCATCATCTTCATGCTTGTCAAGCAGTGCATTATGTTCTTCCCCTGTTGTCTGCACAATTGTAGGATGGCGCAATTTATCTTTATGGACAAAACAACTGCGCAAACATGTGACTACAAACTTACAATGTGAAAATCATCCATAAACTTTTTTGAGTAGGCACCAGAACCAGCAACAACACGCTTAGCTTCTTCCAGCCATCTAAGGACACCATCAACGAATTCTCCCTTTTCAATGGAACTATTCCGAGACCTATCAAAGTCAGCCATGACTTGATCTGTAGCTAGGTTAGTATCCAACTCAATATCTTCAAAATTCACACCAACGATGAAAGCCTGTAGTTCACCACGCCCTATCTTTCCATCATTGTCCAGATCAATTTTGTGAAATAACCTGCCAATTTTTACAGTATTATTTAGAAGATACGTACTTTTTTGGATGAAAATATAGGTAAAAACGAATTGCAAACCAGTGGCATACTTCTCTATGACAGAAACATTTGGTGTGCCATCATCCTCAACAAGGTGACCAAAAGTATGCATTTGAGCATGTTTCAGAAGCCCAGACATTACATGCTTCAGTCTTGAATATTCTAATTTCCTCCTCTGGATCCATGGCTGAAAGATCTGTTTGTAGAGTATGCAAGTATTGTTCAATGGGGCAATATAGATCAAAATAAGATGATAATAAATGTAAGTAGTGTGTGATTGCCCCTTGGAAAATTAATAAAACATATATGAACACATGCCAAAAGATTTCAGCTCCTGACCAAATGAAATGCCTAGAGGAAAGTCAGATGGGTGGTAGAGAGGCATCATTTATTCTTGTTAAATTTCCTTTACCTCCAAGATTTTATAAAGTGTCTTGATAAAAAAATCACGATTTTTTCAGACGAAATGTACATGGCTATACTAGAGAGAAATGTACATAGCTATACAAGAGAGAAATGTACTATTAAAGCAGAAAAGGTGGGAAAGCGTAGGGTTCATTTTCCCATGAGGTCAGTATATACCTGGTACAGGCAATAAGTAAGCAGAAGTAGCACTGCAACTATAAGCCCAAGCAGTAGAGTTAAGCGATGACCAGATTGGAGCTTCAGAATTTGCGGTATCTGAACAACGATAAAGGGGAGAACAGATATCGCCATGATTCTTGCTGCATAGCTGGTCTGCAAATCAGTGGAAACACCAGAGCCTAACAGCGCAGATGTTATTTAGCAAAATATCAGAAGGGGTCTAATGGATCACGTATGCACTGATGCAAGCCATGGAAACTAATTATGCCATAGAAGGTGACTATTCCTAGCCATCATACTGATGTATCATGTCCAAAATTCTGTTTGTGATGTAGAGGTAAAAAGAAATCAAAATTTCTTATACTGCGTGACCCAACAAACACCTATAGTTTCATGAAGTGTTTCCTCAAAATAGTTTCATTAAGTGTAAGCTGAAGAAGTAGAGCCCCTATCTAAACTAGTCTAGTGATGTTGAGCATCACATTGTAACTAAATATACAAAGCTATTAGGTGGTGATATTGTTCAATGATTTGTTTGGAAGTCCAGATGTCAGGTGCATTCAATGATTTCTTAGGTCGGAACCCCAAACTGGAATTTGAGAAATAACAACATACCAAAAAGACTGAAGGCTTTGGTATCTTGGGAATCGATTGTAGTAGAATCCTCTGACAGATCACATTTACCGACAATAACACAAGATCCCCAAAGTATGGTTAAAAGCATGATCGTAGATCCCGCCAGCAGGCCCATTCCGATCAAAACCTGACTTTGAGCAACCTCCTTAGTGCCAGAGAGACCGGAAACTGGAATGCAAGAAACAGACACATTATGCATTTTGCATCTACATATCACTCGAGTGTTCGTAAAAATGGGACAAAAAACATACTTTATTATGTAATTATTTGATGCTAAGTCATTCCAAATAATGACTTCCTTGTATACTATGCATGTTTGCTGAGAGTAAAATATATTATAATGCATACTATTTATTATATATTAAAATTTATTTTGAAAAGGAGGATAACCCCGGCCTCTGCATCAAGCAATGCACACAGTCATCTTTATTATATTATACATTGCATATTAAAGTGACATTTTTTCTTTTTGTCATATCCTTTGGTTTTGGAGAAAAAATTCATGTGGTTTATATTTAATATCTAAGCATTATATTTTTTTATATAATATGCATATTGACATTTTTTGTATGTGTGTGTGGTGCAAATGGCGAAAATATTAGTTTGTCTAAATTACTTACGTGATTAATAATCAATATACTTATGTACTTAAACCGAACATAGTGATATTACTAATTTCCGGCAAAAAAAGAGAAAAGAACGCACATTATTAACAGAACAAAATAAACACTACATGTTGCTCCTTTGTGTTAACAGATTGATTAGTACCCGTAAAAATCAGATTTTTGATTAGTAAAACAATAATAAGGGATTTTTATCTTTCCTTATTTACCATCAAGATTTAAGGAAACTATAACCATTTTCCTAGTTACCTGCAAAAAAAATACTAATCTCTTTCCTATTTTGTAGAAGTAAAATGTCCACAATAGCCCTGCACGATCATGGACATTATCTTAACTAGTAGAGGTAATATCATACTATTAGCCATTGGATGACAAACATTTGATGGTTCCTATCGATTGGGAGCATCCAACGATGAGACGATCCGAAAAGTAAAAGAAACAGACGCAGCGAAGCGAGGAGATGAACAGAGTTTTTTTTTTGTGAAAAAAGAAAGAAGGAGATGAACAGAGTTCACGGGAAGAAGAAGAACGAACGAACCGAGGATTAGCAAGGCGTCCGGCAGCGCGCCGAGGATGGGGAGGAAGAGGCCGCCGACGATCCCCGGGCCGAGGATCTCGAGCAGCAGTTCGCTGCCGGCGGAGAGGTAGGTGGCGGACTTGAACATGAGGAAGCCGTAGGCGAGCGCGAGGAAGAGGTTGCCCCCGGCCGTCTCCGTGCACGGCAGGAAGCCGTAGGTCATCTCGCACCCGCCCTCCTCCGCCTCCCCGGCCGGCCGCCCCGCCGACGAGAGGCGGAGCACGGCGGCGTCGGACGCGCTCCCCTGCCCCGGGAGACCGTCGGAGGCGAGGAGGCGGCCATGGGCCGCGACGGCGACGACAGCGAGGAGGAGGACGGCGAGGGTACGTGGCGGCGGCATCGGGTGAGAGTGGGATGGAATAATGGCGGCCGCGGCGTGGCACAAGTGGTGGGGCAGAGTATGGTGCGGCTCGGATGCTTGGGCTGTGCCGGCCGGGGTTAAAGGCCGCGCCGGCGCGCGCGAACCCGACGGCTACGTGGATACGCTTCGCGAATGCGGGCAGGCGGCACGTGGCCCGTGGCTGCGGAATTTAGGCCGGGCAGGCGGAATTTTTATCGAAAGAGCGCGTACTATGTGGGGTCCGAGAGGGCTGCTCGGATAAAGAAAAATACAAAATCGAGATTAGGATATTGGGGGAACGCCCGCGGCGCCGGGGCAGGTGTGCAGCCTAGCAGCCTCTTCGCCTTTTCTTTTCTCTTTTGCTGTTGCCATGCTCATGCCTCCTCGTTCACTTTTTGAGGCTACGATAGGAAGTGAGATGCAACGGAAAGCCGGCACCTCTCGATTTCCCTCGAAGCTACGTGAGGCCGTTGGACGTTATCTTTGGGCTACACGATGATGATAACTAGGGACTTGGATATGCCGCCCTTGCACATGTGATTTGGCTGAAGAGACCAAAATAATTACTACTTCCACACGTGGGTTACCCAACTATAAAACGATTCCCGACGCCTTTCAAGCCTAATCTTGTTTGTTTAGATACAATCCGATCTATGTTCTCTCTATATGTGGGCGATCTATGTTCCTCGTCACTAGACTAACTGGACTGTGCCTATAGTGGACACAAGCTTGTATGTTGGGCACTGTTGCCACTGAGGTGATTCACTGTTTTGCATTTATCGGCTCGTGTGAGGACGGGACTTCCCTTCATTTCCGGCACATGCAACCCGCTCCTATAAGTCATGATTTAGTATCTCCAACCACTATCGTACCATATTTCTCGAATGCTATCGGCTCACATGCATTTGATATGAATGCAAGATGGTTATCATGTGCTAGACATGGGGAAATCCACATACCAAGGACACGTCACCTGCCCTTATCAAACAGCTTGTACATTCTCAAAATGTGTAACAGTAAATTGTTCAATTTAACTACTACAACTTGTGCATTTTACGAGTGATATTTTTGTGTATCTTTGTATATCGATATTTTTTGTGTGTCTTTGTATATGAATTCGTAAAGCTTATGGTGTCATGAAGTACTTATCATCATGTGAAAATTTCATTAATCATACACAAACTTAAATTCTTCCAAGTAATCATGTGTCTGTTGTTAGTCCAAAATCTATACTGAAATTATATTAACTTCCATTGTTTTCAGAAAGAATTTATCTTTATGTTGGAGTTATTCCTGGTTTTAGCTATCTATGGATCTCTTAGGTTGTTTGTTTTATAATGAAGGATTGTCCAGAGTCTCAATAGTTCAATGCTTTTGTACATGCCTCCGTTTCGTATGAAGTTTTAGGATCCCGGTCAACAACGATTTTTAGTGGAATCTCATACATGGAGATTGAGGCACACAATAACAGGTCTAAGGGTATATATGAGCATACACCACTATATAGATTGCTCCCTTGAGATCTCCTTTTGTGCCTATCAATCTTAACATATCTAAAAGCTAGAGATGGTGAGGATATATATTCTCTTACATTTGATGATCAAGAATATATGAAATAACAGTGCTACTAATAAATCTCGTGCTCAGCTCTAGTATGTCAACCTAGAGCCACTTGAAATGTGGTGTAACTATGCTTGTTGCTGCAAGTATTCCAATGTGATCACACCACAAGGAACTTAGCTCCACAGTGCTTAATGGAGCAACATCAAGGCAAATTTTGGAGTTCAAAATGGGGGGTGGATGCCATGGACACCGCTAGCATCCTTGAGTTCCAAAATGTCATCTGGTTGCAAGCTAATATCATGGTGGCACCTAGGGATATGTTTCCTAACCTGAAGAGACTAAACTGCTCACACAAATGGATTTTCCAAGAATAAAATGATTCCCAACGCCTTTCAATCCTATCAACTAATGGATCTACTCTCCAAAACATATATGGATGATCTCGATGATCGTTGTTCGACATCACTAAGTAATTGGAACAGTGAGGCTTGGAATGGACATGTGTTTCTACGATGGGCATTGTTATCGTGAAGTGAAGCTACTCCACTACATCGCATTTATGTGCCTTTGTGGATGCATGCTTCTTCAATTCTAGCACATGCCGTAATATCATCAAGCCAACTTTGATATGGCATCTTCAGTTTTTATCTTTATTGCGAAACCTCTTTTATGGCATAGGGTCACATGCCTTCGTTATGCTTGCACCTGCATGAGGATTGTGAAACCTCTACTTTGGCATTACCCAGACATCTCTAGGGTCAGCCAATAACATATTTTCATTTGCTTCTCAAACAGGGTTTTTGGCTCTAGAAGTTGCATATATTTCCTTAGATTGAGATGATCCAAAAATAAAAGTTGTTCGTTTCAATGAAACAAACACATTTTATATTGAGGATTTTTCTATTTGGGGTCATATTGAGGATGATTTTATGGAAGCCAAAAATTAGCATCAACTCATGCTCCCTTTTGGCATTTCGAGTTTGATGTAAATCTAATCTACTCGATAAATTGTCCCAGGTCACAATCTTCCTCGGTGGTACAGGCGTACTGCAGGACGACCTCGAAGAAGACCTTCGACTCCACCTCGTTCCCATTGGCACCCTTGGGATTCAAAGTAACAACGGGGCTGAGGTCCAGGCTTGGGAAGTGGGCCTTCAGCGTCACCCATGCTTGGTGGGCTCCCTCCCGGGCTATTGAGGACTTCAACTCTGTGATCCGGAGAGCAGCCCCTCGCGGGCACATGGCGAGATCGAAGAAGTTGTCTAGGTTGGCTTCCCGGGCCACAAATGCCATTAAAATGGACTCCATTGCCGGCCTTGCACGCGCCACTAGCTCAGCGATCTGCTTCATCTTATCCAAAAGGATGACAACTCGGGTGGTATCCTGGAATTGCACCCACAAATCCCAAGTTGCCCTTTGCTCAGGATCATAAAATCTTTGGTAGAACTCGTGGGCATGGGCCGAACTTGTGGGGAGATCTGTAAAGATATCTATGTCATGACATATCCGAGTTAGCTCTGTATAGCCTCAAGAACCAGATATGCACTGATGGAGATAGGGTTTACTGGTTGCTATCTCGCTAGCCTGCCTTATCTCCTCATTGGTGCTTTCCTGGTACATCTCGACCTCTTGGGAAGGTGTGTTGTTTCTGCTTCACCTCCTCGGCCAGGCCGGTCTTCTCAACCTTCAACTTCTGGTGGAGAGGTACATGGGGGACTTGAACATGAGGAAGACATAGGACATTGTGAGGAAGAGGTTGCCCCTCGCCGTCTCCATGCACGGCAAGAAGCCATAGGTCATCTCGCACCCGCCCCCCTGCCTCCCCGACCGGCTGCCCCGCCGACAGGGGGCGGAGCACGGTGGCGTCAGACGCGCTCTCTAGCCCGGGAGACCGTCGAGATGAGCAGGCGGCCATGGGCCGCGACGGCGTCGACGATGATGACGGCGAGGAGGATGAGGAGGGTACGAGGCAGCGGCATTGAGGTGAGGGGGGCTAGCGAGAGTGCTAGGAATGTTGGCCGCCGCGGCGTAGCACGTGGTGGGGCAGAGATTAAAGGGTGGTGGTGGTGGTGCGGCTCGAATGCTTGGGTTGTGTTGGCCTGGGTTAAAGGCTAGGCCGCCGCACGCGAACGACTACATGGATGCACTTCCACTACTAGGAAAATCCTTACCAGTAGCGCTGGTTTTTTGGCTATTAGTAGCGCGGGCAGGCGCGCTACTGCTACGGCGCTACAACAATTTTTTAGCAACTCCTATACCCCACGCTACTGCTAGTATTTTCCTTTTTTATGTTGTTGTATTCATATTTTTACAGGTTTTATACAATTACAACATACACATACACTGAAACTATATGAAAAAGGAATGTTTCATCATCATCATCGAAGTGGTACAATATAGTTTCATCATATCAACATAGTCGCAACACAAATGATGTCGATCTCATCATCGTCTTGAAATAGCGATACAAGTTAATGATCACATGTCTCTTACATTGTCACCGTAGACATATGTTTCATCATCTACCTAAACTATGACATACGAGATAAGAGCGATCACGATGATCAAAAGCGGTATTATGTAGTAGTTTTTGCAGCGGCGCTGGTTTTGAATCCCCTGTTGTGCTATGAATCTCAAGTAAGTAGCTTCGGCTTCCGCTCTGCTATCAAACCCCTTCTGGCTTCCGCCGGAGAAGCCAGAGACTTGGGCCTGACACTCTGGCCACTCATTATACACAACCGGAACATGCCCTACATACACGGCATACCACTTCTTATAGATGGGGCACCTAGGTGCCTGGGCACCTTGATTATTTTGGAAACCGTGATATATTTAATTAGTTTCCTACTCATTCTTCATGCAAGACTTTCCATATTTATGATTTATTTTTGTTTCCTAATTATTAGGCATGCAAGACTTGCCATATAATAAATCGTATTAATGTTTTTTTATTTGAACTGCCATGGTTATCTAATGCGTGTATTTTTGTTTCCTAAATATCTAATACATACCAACTCGTATATACTTAATATTTTTTGAACTCTTACATATCATTTTTGGTTCCTAACTGTCTAATATGGGCATCGAATACCTACTAATGAAATTATTTACATACGTGATATGTATATACCCAATAATGTATTTCCTAACTATCTAATACTTGTATCCGGTACCTACTGATGATGTACATACACGGGTACGTATATTCCAGGTCACGTAAAATATGGCTGCATATATACCTTGCTATGTAAAATATATACCCAATGAACTCCTAGTGTACCTTCGTAGCAAAAAAAAACTCCTAGTATACCCACATAGTTTATACGACATGGTCACATAAATCTTCTAGTATATACCCAACGAACATAAATAAAACAACATACCCAATGTGTCTGCCCACGTATATACCTGGCTATATGAAAAAGTGTAGAAACTGTTAGGTATCATGTCAACGTATATATAGTAAAATATGGCTACGTATATACTCGACTACATGAATTATGGCATCCATATGTATATGAATACCCTGGTACAAATCTCACATCTGTGGGGTATGCAGAAAAATATGATGGGTATGCATATACCCAAAAAGATATCCATTTTGAAAAAAGCTTGAAGACGTACATGTGTATTTTCCCATGGAGACAAAAGATAACTATACCTTCTGTTCCCAAGACGATCATATACATAAATATCTAATTATGTATATGACTTCCTATTTTTATGTAAAAAAGAAAGAAGTACACGTATAAGAAATAAAGTTGGGGACGTACCATGGAGCATGCATGGCCGGACCATTAATTGTTGTTTTCCCCCTATATTGTTTAATATGGGCATTAAGTGTCCATATGAAGCAATAATTTGCAATATTTCTTTCCTAATAAAAAGCTAACATGGTTGACCCAATACTGCTAATACTAATTACACATGCATACATTTCAATGTAATCCAACGGTTTGTAGACAAGGTGCTTGGGCACCTAGGTGTCTCAATGTAATCCAACGGTTTGGGTCACGCTATTCGTCACCCTACGTGAGGAATAGTTATTCTTCACCCTCCTCTATTTTACCATCAATGCACTGTAATTTTATGTTTCGTAAGTTTTGTCTTATTTCTGACGCAAAAAGGGACCGTAAGAAAATATATAATGACCGTAAAAAATATTTTATGTTATGTAAAATTACAAACGTAAAAACATAGTCTAAAATACACATAAACTGCAAATTTTCTTATCTTATGACCTATATTTTTATTTTCTTATGTCAAATTTTACATAGTGAATCAATAGGAATGTAACTATTTGAATTTGAAACGTAATTTAATTATGAAATGATCGTAAGATTACCTCGGGTGAAGAATGACTTATTCTACACCCTGGGTGATGAATAGTAATACTATATATATATATATATATATTTATATATATATATTCAACAAAACAGTTATGAAATAGAAGCAATATATCCTATATACTTAAGAAGTTCACCCGCACTACTTGATTTATCTCAACATGCAGCATAGACACATCAGCATCCACTCACATCAAGCCACGTCACACCTCGTGCAGTCCCACTCAAGCCCACCTCCTCAGGTCTAACCAAATATTTAGAAAAAAACAAAATCTTTAGGATTGCTTGAACGTACATGCCTAACTGAAACACAAGACGAGCCCTGACCCATCCTTTGCTCTTCGACTTCTGTAACAGATGAGGCGTTTAAGGAGCCTCCCGATGGATCTTCTTTTACTTCCCCACTCATCTCATCTTCCCACCCCATCTCATGAAGTAAATCAAATCGAGTTGCAACCACCAGAATTGAGATTCAACGACCTCATAATCAGGCCAATATCAGGTTCAATGCTCCTCCACCACTGCGCGGCTCGACGAAAACATCACACGCCCGCAGCGCATCCCGGGCGGCCCGCATCAGCTTTAGATCGGCCATCCATGTCTGCCATCCGTCGTTCGCATGGGCTTCACCCGCCGGCGGCTGCCCACGACTCCTCACCTCGAGCCGGATGGCGCACCACCAGCAACCTTGCCGCCGCCTGTTGTACAACCCTCATCCCACCTTCCTACGCTCTGGTCTGTAGTGCGGCTAGCTGGTCGGCATAGCGTGCTGTTGGAGATGAAGAAGAGGGTCTATTTGTACCAGGTATCCGCTCGTCTCTACCAAACTTACTTTATTACCCATGTGTCATCTGTTCTCCTCAACATCACTTTCACCACCTGAAGTTTTTGTCGGATTTTATTGTAATATGCAAACAAAACTGTATCATGGGTATTAATGTTGCAAGGTAAATGGATAATGCGTGACTATTTCTTAAATTCCATTTACATCATCGAGTCTAAAGGTAACTATTGTTTTATATATATTGCAATTATATATTAAGATTAAATGATCTGCTCTGCTGCATTTCATTCATAATAATCTGTGCATTGAGTTTTCTTTAGAGAAGTTTGGATCTTTATTTCCAGGAGCAGTCAATTGGTCGATCTCTTTGTGTCTATTATATGTCAATCTTCCAATAGTGTTTTAATTAAAGAGAGAGGAATGAATGAAGCAGAAGATTGATTAAGTTCAGCAAAGGCATCCAAGATTGCTCTCTTCGTGGTCAGAATCATTGCCACATCCATGGTGATGGCCGTGCACTCTGCCCGGACACTTTCTGGTAAGAAAATGACCGGTAACATGTTATAATAGTGGTGTGTTATTTTCTCATTGATTGTTATCAATGCAGTGTTCATAAAGAGTAAGGTCTTATTTGGCCAAAGTAAAAATTTGAGAGTCAGGTGTCATGAAGTTGTGATACAGTTAGCTTATTGTGATTGCTTACCAAATGTTGGTAAATAAAGAATGGAATCCACAATATTATGTCATACGTACATTTATCAGTTTGCATGGATTAGTGTCTTCTTTTCATGAATATTCTGTAGGGCACTCATCTGTTGTGCTAATGTGCTATCTGCCCTTGCTTCAAATTAGTGAAAATCAGTCGCTTAACTAAAAGTATGTCAAAATAATACCTTTTCCGTGATTATTTGGCAGTTGCTTGCATGTAATTGCAATTTTGAACTGCATGGATAATTTGGATCTCAGTGCTTTCTTCTGTATAAGTTCTCATGCTATTCTTTAATTATGCACTACAATTTTTTTACGTCTATCTTGGAGAATTGTTTAATTGCTAATATATGTCTAATTTCTCATGCTTTTTCAGAAATATTACAGATGTCTAATGGCATGACACCTGCCAAGTGGTTGCCAAAGTTGAGAAGCAGGCCGTGTTATATGTATTAGTCTCTTTTCTTCCATAATAAGGTTTATTTTGGTGGTAGCATGAATTTTGTTCCTCCCAAATTAGGCCTTTCACTGTGGTGTGTTGTACTCACTGACGAGCAGATCATTTCGCTCGAATTTGGAATTACGTTGTTCATTACAGCTATTGGCATGTACATTTGTAATTGCCTCATCCAATAGGTTACTGGGCAAGTGCTCCATGCAATAGGTCATTATATAAAAACTAAAGTTTGTAAACCACTGATTGATACACATTTTTAGAGTTCATGACAAATATAGCAGCATAGAAATTCTATACATGGTCGTCATAAAATATATAGTGGCAGTTAGTTGCATTCTAACTAAAATTTTCATTCTTCTGTAGATGAAAAAATAGTTCACACTGATGGGTGACGAGGATGGTTCTTCATATGGAGTGCTAAGGATCAGGACTAACTGTAACGTAGACACAAATTTTTGTATTCGAAGCACTTTCTAATCTACTTAGTGTCACTTCCTTTGTATTAAGACTCCATATGCATTAGATTCATTATGCACAAGCGGCAATCCCTGATACACTGAGCAAATAGTTTCCTTTATATTATTATGTGTTACCCAACATTATATAACCTTCTCTATAAAATATGTATTTATGCATTCCCGCAGCAACGCGCGGGGTATCATCTAGTATAGTAAACATAGT